TACCAAACCCACTGGCAGCCAGTACCCCAGGGAAATCTCAAACGTGAAAGACCCAGACCACCACCACCTCCTGAAAGTGATCAAAGCCACCTTCCTAATTTCCTTAAATGCAGTGTTGAGAGTAGTGAGTGGCTTAAAGCCAGGGATTCGGTTATGCTAATTACACCCTTGAAGAGCCCAGCCCTGAAGTCTCATAGCATGAAAAGAATTCTGGCAGCTGGGTTCACTTGGAAAAGAAAGGAAATGTGGAATCTAAGAGTGGCAGGAAGTGGGATGGTGGGCGGATTCAAGAAAAAGGAAGTTTTTGAAAGTTGAAAAAATAAAGGAAATTCATTCACATTAAAACAACAAAAGGATATCCTTTCACCAATCAGAAGAGCAAAAACAAAACACTGGATATTGCCCAGCCTTGACAAGGCAAAGAGTAACAGGAGCTTAAACTCACCAAAATGACAAGGCATAGCTTTTTCCAAGGCAATGGCAGATTCCATGAAACTTCAAAACTTGCATAAACTTCTACCCTCTCAACTCTATTTCTAGGACCCATCTTTCCTACAGACATACACGTGCACAAATATATATGGAGAAAGGTGTGCTTGAAACAGACACAAAATAGATGGAAACAATTAAATGCCCATTAACAAAGGAATGGATAATATGCTGTTGAAATATTAAATATATCTCTCTTTAAAAATGAAGATTTCCTTGTGTGCACAAGACCCATTTATAATATAAGTATTATTAAAAAGAAAGGAAATGGTCTTGGGGGAAAAAAATCAGAATCATAAATCCTGAATGTGAACTTTAGACCTTTAATACATTTTGTTAGACATGAGTTCTAAATTTCTTTTCAAAGAATCAGTATGTCGTATGTTCAATTCTTTGCCTTCTACTTTTAAACTTAACTTCCTCATAAAGCAACCTCTTCCGATTACCTGCTCCACCCTGACTCATTCCGATTACCTGCTACCTGCTCTGCCCTGACTCATTCTCCACCCTGCATAACCATTTTTCCTGCCAAACCACTCATGCCATCGCTCTCTTTAAATTAGCCAATCGGAATTAGTTTAGCCTGTGCCATCTAACCCTAGCCAACAGGGGAAAGACACAGCAGCAGGGGCCACATGTGTCAGCAATAAGAACCCTTTTCCCTCCCTTGTCCAAGTGCACACTCACCATTGCTCCATCTGTAAGGGCGCACCGTTCTATAGTAGTAACTTGCCTTGCTGAGAATTAAAAAGAAAATTTTATATTCGAGTGCTATTTCTTTTGTAGCATCGAAACTTTAATTATAACAATTTCAAGTGGCCCAGGCTTCCAAATGTGTTTCTAATGTAGTTGTTTCCTATACCTCAGGTATCCAGAGAGCAAAGACTATGGGAAATACTGATGTCGCTCAATACTCACCAAAGATGAAAATGAGTTCATTTCCTTAACTGCCTAGTTGAAATGGTCTTTAAACTAGGCCCTATTTACTTGCCAGGAACCTATGTTACAGCAGCACCCAGACGCAAAAGGAACACATATTAGCCATAATTCCCTCAAACATCATCAACCATGGTGATGTTACAGGGAAGGGGTCCTGATCCAGACACCAAGAAAGGGTTCTTGGATCTTGCATAACAAGGAATTCAGGGTGAGTCCATAAAGTGAAAGCAAGTTTATCAGGAAAGTAAAGGAACAAAAGAATGGCTAACCCATAAACACAGCAGCCCCGAGGGCTGCTGGTTGCCAGTTTTTATGGTTATTTCTTGATGATATGCTAAACAAGGGGTAGATTATTCATGCCTCCCCTTTTTAGACCACATAGGGTAACTTCCTGAGGTTGCCATGGCATTTGTAAACTGTCATGGCGCTAGTGGGAGTGTAGCAGTGAGGACGACCAGAGGTCACTCTCATCGCCATCTTGGTTTTGGTGGGTTTTGGCCGGCTTCTTTACTGCAAGCTGTTTTATCAGCCAAGTCTTTATGACCTGTATCTTGTGCTGACCTCCTGTCTCATCCTGTGACTGAGAATGCCTAACCATCTGGGAATGCGGCCCAACAGGTTTCAGCCTTATTTTACCCAGGTCCTATTTAAGATGGAGTTATTCTATTTCAAATGTCTCTGACAGTGAGAAGATCTCTGCCAGAGCTGGAACTAAAGAAGAGTGCCAGGAATTGTGTTACTGTCACACACTTCCATGTGGAGAGAGTCCACCAAACAGGCTTTGTATGAGCAACAAGGCTATTTATTTCACCTGGGTGCAGGTGGGCTGAGTCCGAAAAAGGAGTCAGCAAAGGTTGATGGGATTATCATTAGTTCTTACAGGTTTGGGATAGACATACAAAGTACATTCTCAAGGGCGGGGAGAATATTACAAAGCGCCTTCTTAAGGGTGGGGGAGAATATTACAAAGTACCTTATTAAGGGCGGGGGAGAATATCAGTTAGGGTGGGGCAGGAACAAATCACAGTGGTGGATTGTCATCAGTTAAGACTATTTTCACTTCTTTTGTGGATTTTCAGTTGCTTCAGGCCATCTGGATGCATACCTGCAGGTCACAGAGGATAGATGGCTTAGCTTGGGCTCAGAGGCCTGACATTACCACTTATGCAGCCCATAGCCTGGTGTTCACCAAAGGGGCCAGTCAAAAATTTCTAGCATACTTGAAGCTATTGAAAACCACATATGTGCACAGTATATGCAAGATAAGTATTTATAGTAAATGTATATACCTTCTATTCTGAATAATACACTGTATTTCAGTGATGGTCTATTAAGTATTTAGAAATGACACTGGATACATAAAATGGAAAGTATCCTGAAGAAACAATGGTTATCACAAGGTCTCCCACTCTGTTATCCAGAACAGCTTGTATTATTTTAGGAATGAAATTTTAAAGACATTGTTCTGTGAGTTCAAGAAATGGTCTTCTCCATACCAGGGTTATGAGCTATTCTGCTTATAAACTACTCTGGCTGTGTCCACTTCTCTTGAATCTTCAGAAACATCTCACAATTCAATGAAAGATAGTTTATACCCAAAATAAACACACTTGCTATGTTAAAAATAAAAAAAGAAAGTAAATGCAAAACTACACATAGGCAGATGTATATGTGTGCAAATGCATAGAAAAAACCTTCAAGAATACACTCCAAACTGTTAAAAAGCAGGCACCTCTGGAGAGAGAGGAAGTAGAACTTGAACTTCGTAGGCCATTTGCAGTGGTTTACGCCTGTAATCCCAGCACTTTGGGAGGCCGAGGCAGGCGGATCACCTGAGGTTGGGAGTCCAAGACCAGCCTGATCAACATGGAGAAACACCATCTCTACTAAAAAAAAAAAATACAAAAAATTAGCCGGGCGTAGTGGCGCATGCCTGTAATCCCAGTTACTTGGGAGGTTGAGGCAGAATCACTTGAATCTGGGAGGCGGCGGTTGCAGTGAGCTGAGATCGCACCATTGCACTCCAACCTGGGCAACAAGAGTGAAACTCTGTCTCAAAAAAAAAAACAACAACAATAACAACAGAACTTGAACTTCATATTCTATGCAAAAAAGGAAAAAAATCTAAGAGAGAAAAAAAAAATACATGAGGAATATGGTTTCTCAATTTAAAAACCTCCCCCTTCCAACACCATCTTCCATCCCTGTCATTCTTTTTTTTTTTTTTTTTTTTTTTTGAGGCAGAGTCTGGCTCTGTCATCCAGGCTGGAGTACAATAACGCAATCTTGGCTCCCTGTAACCCCTGCCTCCCAGATTCAAGCCATTCTCCTGCCTCAGCCTCCCAAGTAGCTGAGATTACAGGCATGTGTCACAACACCCAGCTAATTTTTGTATTTTTAGTAGAAATGGGGTTTTGCCATGTTGACCAGGCTGGTCTTGAACTCCTGACTTCAAGTGATCCACCCGCCTCAGCCTCCCAAAGTGCTGGAATTACAGGTGTGAGCCACCGCACCCACCCTATCCCTGTCATTCTTAAGAAGAAGATAGGTCCTAATTTTAACTATTCAGAAAGCTTTTAGATGTATGCCTTGCTTAGGCTTCTCTGGCAACTCCCCAAGCCTGCATCAGCTTAGCATCCAATCCATTAAGGTCTCCCCATGGGGCTGAGGTCCCTGCCACAGGGTGTCCTAAATACAGAGAAAGTCTAGGCAAAATTTACACATGACACAGTTATGGTCTTACACAATCTTTCACCTTTGTCTTTTTGTAAACCTTGATTTATTTTGCTTCCCTTGGCACATTATCTCCCCTTCCAGATATTTTTGCAGCGGATATTGTATTCTTTAAGCCTTTCTTGATTGCGAGTGAGAGAAACTAAATTAGCAAAAGGTGGAATTCATTATAAGCATTCAATGAACGTTTGCTGTTGCTGCTGCCCAGCTGTTGTTAGTGAAGGCAGGATTTGCCTGGGTTTGGGGAACAGCCGGATCCAGGAATTTGTACATTCTCAAGAAATTTCTTAATCTCTATCTGCTGCTTGTCTCTGCTCCTGTTTCAGTGAAGTCCCTTTCACTTGTGAGACTCAAGTCAAACCGAGTTTAGCAAACAAAAGTGGGGAGGAAATACTGGCTCAGATAACTGAAAACCCCAGAGGCTAGCTTCAGAAACTACTTCATATTGACGCTACAACTATGTAAATTACATAATCACCCAGGAAGCGAGGGCGTGCAGCCAGATCTATCGAACGAAATGAACACACAGTGGGAAAAGACTCATCCCTGCAAAGGTAAATCTGGGTTTTGTCACCCATAAATGGCAGAAATAACACACACACCTCAGTCTTCTCTCTGTTCTCTTCTTTCTCTCTCCCACTCTCCCTCTCTCATTTTGCCCTCTCTTGCTTGGAAACTGGCTGCTTCTGGCATTCTGATCTTTATGATAGGAAATAATGTCTGCCAAGAGATCCCAAATCCCAAATTAGCCTGACTCTCTCCATTTCAAGCCCAAAAGACTCAATGAAGGGTCTGGTATCAGTTATCTACTGCTGCACAATGAATTACCCAGAAACGGAAAGGCTTACAACAAGACCATTTATTATCTCACTTCGTGTCTTGCAGGTCAGGAATCCAGGGGCAGCTTAGCTGGGTGAGTATGGCTCAGTGTCTCCCATGCCAGAAATCATCTTCTGAAAAAAAAAAAAAAATAGAATTATGCGACCCCAAACTCACTATGCCAAAGGGAAAGTTAAGCTTGGGAACTGAGCCACCACTACTGTCTTCCTTTTGTTCCCAAATGGACAGCTGTGATTTCACAACCCAAATCATGACCTCATTTCCTCTACTCCCTCTTTTCATGTTTATCTTATGTAAAATGTAGATTTACTGAGAGGGAGATAATACATAATTGACTTTTTCCTCTACTCCCTCTTTTCACATGTACAATGTTGATTGATTGATTGATTGAGTTTTTTGAGACAGAGTCTTGCTCTGTTGCCCAGGCTGTAGTGCAATGGTGCAATCTTGGCCCACTGCAACCTCCACCTCCAAGGTTCAAGCAATTCTCCTGCCTCCACCTCCTGAGTAGCTGGGATTACAGCTACACACCAGATAAGTTTTGTATTTTTAGTAGAGACGTGGTTTTGCCATGTTGGCCAGGCTGGTCTGGAACCCCTAGCGTCAAGTGATCCAACTGCCTCAGCCTCCCAAAGTGCTGGGATTACAGGCATGAGTCACTGTGCCCCGACTAAAGTTTAGATTTATTGAGACTAATCAGGGCCTCACAAGAATGTAACCATCTACCTCACTGCATATCTCCCTCGCTTCCTCCCGTCTCCCACTCCTTGCTCTTTCTCCTTTAAATACCAGAGTGCATACAAAGTCCCCTTTGGAGAAAAGCAGAGATCACAGATGCTCCTGCGATTTCTATTTTTCCTGGTTGCATCCTCAACCTTAGCTAAATAAACCTCTAATGGCCTCAGTCACTTTTTGGTTAACAATTAGAATGCTGTTAACTAGGGCTGGGGAATCCACTTCCAGAAGAAGTCACTTATGTGGCTGGAAAGCTCCTGCTAGTGAAGGCAGATCCTCTCCATGTGGGCCTCTCCACAGGAGGCTGGAGCCTCTGCACAACAAGGCAGTTGGCTTCACCTGAAGGGAGTGATCTGGGAGAGAGAACATTGCCTGAAACCGATTTGGATTGAAAAGAATAAATCAATATTTAAATATTTTTTTAAAAGACAGAAAACATCTGGCAGAAACTATCCCTTTTATGATCAGCCTCAGACATCACATACCATCATTCTATTAATTTAAAGCAAGCCCCTAAGTTCAGCCCACGTTTTATGAAAGGGAGAGCTTCACTTTTTGAAGGAAGGAGTATCAAAGAACCTGTGACTATGTTACAGGACCCCACCGCTTACCCAAAGTCAGTGGTTGGCTCACTATAGTCCCTTCTGTGGACGCCAGAAATATGTTACAGGAAAGCGGTCCCAGTACAGACCCCAAGAGAGGGTTCTTGGATCTCATGCAAGAAAGAATTCAGGGTGAGTCTGCAGTGCAAAGTAAAAGCAAAGAAAGTAAAGTGATGAAAGGACAGCTACTCCATAGACAGAGTAGGACGTTCCTGAAAGTAAGAGGAGGAACGCATCCCCGCTAGGTACAATGCTTGTATATATGGGGAGATGTGCTCTAAGGGTTTGTGATAGAGGATTAATTTTCTTAATAACTATATTTTGCAAGAATCTATATTACTATCTTTAAAGCAAAATTAGGAATGCCTATGTTCTCCAGATATCAGGATATCTGGACACTCCCAAGTCTGGGTCTGTTTAGTAAACATTATTAATTTGTTCCCTTAACCGTAAACATCTAGAGGCTCAGAATGCCAAACTTCCTGAGGATGCAGACCAGCAGGTCCCAGCCTCATTTTCCAGCCCTCACTCAAGATGGAGTCACTCTGATTCAAACGCCTCTCACAGATATATTTTCAAACCAACACAGGACTAATTAGTCTTGGTTGGGTCAAGTGTTTTCCTTTAAACCAATCAACTGTGACCAGAGGCAGGGTTATACTATAACAATGCCTACTCCCTCTACAATCTTGCAGATTTAAGTAGAAAAAAAGATTTCTAGAAAGGGGGATGCACAAACAGAGAAAAAGAACTCTTTTCCTCCAGCTCCAGAAAGAAAAATCCCAGAGGAGGATTCTGATGGGCTCAGCTTGCATCATATGCCTCTTCCAAGAGCCATCAATCACTGTGGTCAGGGGCAGGATGTAATGCTGAAATATGAGAATGCAGGGGGATTCCAGGTGGTCACTCATGATCGTCTCCACGGTGTACTTCAACCATGCTACTTAATATTTTTATGTCTTAGTCTCAGCATCTGCTAAATAGAGATTAGAAAGCCTTGTACATAGAGTTGTTATGACTATTAAATTAGATGATATCTGTGAAGCACAATGTCTAGCTACAAAAAAGCCTATTAAGATTCTCAAGTACTTAAAATTCATCTGAAAATGACATTTTTTATTTTTATTTATTTATTTTTTTGTGTGATGTCTCGCACTGTCACCCACATTGGAGTACGGTGACACGATCTCGGCTCACTACAACCTCCACCTACCAGGTTCAAGCAATTCTCCTGCCTCAGGCTTCCTAGTAGCTAGGATTACAGGTGCCTGCCACCACACACAGCTAATTTTTGTGTGTGTGTATTTTTAGTAGAGATGGGGTTTCACCATATTGGCCAGGCTGATCTCGAACTCCTGACCTTGTGATCTGCCCACCTCAACTTCTCAAAGTGCTGGAATTACGGGTGTGAACCACTGCACCTGTCCTTTTTTTTTTTTTTTTTTTTTTTTATTTTTTGAGAAGCGTCTCTCTCTGTCACCCAGGCTGGAGTGCAGTGGCGCAATCACAGCTCACTGCAACCTCTGCCTCCCAGGTTCAAGCCATTCTCCTGCATCAGTCTCCTGAGTAGCTGGGACTACAGATGCACATTACCACACCCGGCTAATTTTTGTAATTATTATAATTTATTTATTTATTTATTTTTTATTTTTTATTTTTTTGAGACAGAGTCTCGCTGTGTCACCCAGGCTGGAGTGCAGTGGCACGATTTCGGCTCACTGCAACCTCCGCCTCCCGAGTTCAAGCAATTCTCCTGCCTCAGCCTCCTGAGTAGCTGGGATTATAGGCAGGCACTACCATGCCTAATTTTTTATATTTTTAGTAGAGACAGGGTTTCACCATGTTGGCCAGGCTGGTCACGAACTCCTGACCTCAAGTGATTCGCCCGCCTCAGCCTCCTAAAGTGCTGGGATTACGGGTGTGAGCCACCGTGCCTGGTCACAAATTGGCATTTTTTAAAAAGCAATTTATAATTGGAAAGTCTCAGGGCTCACTCTTCATTTCTAATTCTCATAATCCTTACTTTCTCATTGTGGCTGACTTCATCCACAAACAGGCTTTCCTCAGGAGAACAAAATAGCTGCAGTAGCTCCAGGTCTCATGTTTGAAACCCATGCAATCTATGGACACAAATTGTCTTTCTCCCTACTCACAAACAGTCTTGACATTCACTCACATTGGCTGACTTCAGTCACCCGTCCACTTCTGAATCAATCACTCTGTCCAGGGGACGGGGGCTGGGGGCAGAGAAATGGAATGCTGATTGGCTTAAACCAATCACAATCCACCCCTGATGACTGAGGATGGAGTCAATCTCCCGGGAGCACAAGGGATACAAGAGAAGGATGATATGAAAATCAGGTCATATAAGGAAAGAGGGTAAAAGAGAGTGGGTGCTGTGGGCCAGAGTCAGCTGGCCTGCCAAACCCAGCCTGCTATTGTAAATAAAGTTTTATTGGAACACAGCCACAGTCGTTCATCTATATGTTGTCTATAGCTGCTTTTGTGGTACAATAACAGAATTAAATAGTTGCAACAGAGACCACATGGCTGCAAAGCCAAAAATGTTTACTATCAGGGCCTTTACAGAAAAAAGGTTGCAGATCCCTGCATGTAGGCAAACATACAATTTCCACTGCAGTCGTATTCAAACCACACTTTCTTCCCTCCTCCCAGTCCTTCTCTGTTGAGAGACATCACGACAAACCAGCAGAGCGGGCATCTCTCAGCAGAAGAATCCTCCCAGGGTCCATCAACTCCTACCCCATTGCCAATGAGTAAACACACAGCCTGTGGAACAACATCAGGCAGAGGACTGGTTTGAGAAGAGATTTTGTGGCTGCTGGAGCGTACAGGCTCTGTCTCCATTACCCATCATGGAACTTCACCATTCAAAGATCAATGACGTGCAGCCTAGATGATGCTGGCAAGCCAGGGGCTGTGGATCCCGATTTTTCCTCCGTGATAAATGGGGAGCAATCTCCAGGAGCTCTAGCCTGGAAGACAGCCCTAGTTAAATTACTTTATCGCCCAGCTGAGAGATGGCCAGCTTGGAGGAGATGTACTCAAGCAGCATGCTAACTAGACTCAGCATCAGCACACAGACCCCTCCTCAGAGCAGCACACTCCTCCCTCCTCTTTCCCACCAAAGAGCAGAAGAATTCCACCCTGGCATTGGCTTATGGAAATTGCTCTCCCTGACACTTCCATAGTAAATAAGATCAGGGGTCTGTGTAGTTCCCACTCACTTCACATGCACATATCTGAGATCACTGCTTTCAAGCTTGCCAAGTGGCAGAGAACTTGTACATCATGGAGTCCTTGCAGAACTCAAAATGCTGGTATATCATGCTTAAAAGAAACCTCCAGTGCAAAGACTAAGTGCACAGGCATTAGAGATAGGCAGAACAGGATTTAGATCCCAGCTCTGCAACTTACCATGGGCAAGTATCTTGGTTCAGGATCCTTCAGAAACTTACTTTAAGACAAGGGTTTGAGTGTACATAGTTGATTTAGAAAGTGACCTCAGGAAGCACCACAAGGCAGTGGGGAAGAGGAGGAACCAATAAAGGGCATGTATCAAGGAAGCTATCACTGGAGCTGAATTCTGCTGGAGAACCAATGTTAAACACTGCCTTAATGCTAACTCATCCAAGCAGCAAGGGAGCTGGGGTATTAATACTCCAACTCCCATATGTTATTTGAGGGATGCTGCCAGAGGCATTAACCCCTAGGCACTTCTGGCCTACTATGTATGGGGGAATCTGGTGGCCAAA